CAATGAGCAGTGACGGATCGCCGACTGGATAAGAATCGTCGGCAAGAGCGGCTGCCACTCCTGCAAGTGATTGAGGAGCGGCCCCCAGAATCAGTCATTTACACGCGCGCGCAGAATCGCGGCATTGGCGGTCGCCTTGCCACCCTTGGCCTTGGCCAGGAGCGCCTGCAGGGGAGCAGCGCCTGCAGGGTCAAAGGGAAGGCCCCGAGATCGTGCCGCCCTTGGCCTTGGGTCAGCAGCGCCGGAACTGCCTCGGGAGGTGGGCTCCACATCCCGGGCAGAGATTGCACGAGATTGCACAAGCCTCTCTCCTCTACCGTAGCGACTTCTCCTCCCCTCTCTCCTCTCCCTCTCTAGCGCCTGAAGCGTCTCCGCGACGAACCCCTCGCACAGCCGGTAGCAGTACGCCGTGTTGGCCAAGAAGCGCGCCTGCCAGAGACCCTGGCGCAACTAATCCTCTCGACACCTCAGCATCAAACGAAGTGCTGGCCGGGAGCCTCGCCTGTCAGTGACCAATCAAACATGAACCAACTCGCTGATCATCGCATACGCAATGCTCGCCAGGCCCCGCGCCTCCTCGCCGCCATCACCGGCGCTGCCGCCTTTGGCCGCCGCGTCGCCGCTGTCGCCCTCCTCTGGGACAGGCAGCTCCGCCTGAAGAAGGAATGTCTCGGAAGAGTCTCGGAAGTGTCTCGGAAGTGTCCTCTGGGCCAGGTTGCCCCCGCCTCGAAGCGAGAGCGGAGTGCGCTGCCCAGCACGCCCCCTCCGCCGCCTACGCCATCACCTCGGAGACTCTCGGAGACTCTCTGGGGCGATCTCCGCATCCGGGCCTCGAGAGAGATGGGGAGATATGGGGAGATATGATGGTCAGAGACAAGCATCTGGCTCTCTCGCCGCCGCTGGAGCGCAGGCTCTGCGTCAGCTGCGCCTCGAGTGGCATCCGGAGCAGCATGCCGCCCGCCTGCAGGGAAAGGCCCAGGAGCTGTCTCGGAAGGGACCAGGAATTGTCTCGGAAGGGTCTGTGATGTGCTGCCCGTTTCCCCTCCCGTCCGATTTCACTCTCTCGGTGGCGCGCCTCCACTGGCGACTCGTGCGCCCAGCTCCCCTCGGTGTACTCGCGCCACAGCTCCTCGCTTTGCTCTTTCAGCAGCGCCTACAGGAAGCTCCGAGAGGTTCCGCGAAGGGTTCCCGGCTCTGCCGCCGCTGCCGCGACAGCGGCGCCTCGTTGCCGGGCGCGACGACGAGACGCGGTGCCGAGGACGCCGCTGCCGCGGAGGACGGCGTCGCGTCGTCCGGTGCGGCGCCCTCTCCGTCCGGCGTCGCCTCGGTTGTCAGCTTGA